AATGTATCTGCCTCCACCGGTACTCCTGGCAGCACGTTCCAGACTCCTACAATTCTCTGTGTAAAAAACTTAGCCCTCACATCTCCTTTGAACTTTCTCCTTCTCAGCTTAAATGCATGTTCCACATGCAAATGTTGGTACAGTTAGGGTTCAGCTACCTGGTGGTTTTTTCTGTTGTCTGCCTCATCTATCATTGCTACATCTTCTACTTTGCCTAAAGGGGCAGCAGAATCCAGTGATCAATATTTATAGCAATCCACTTCACCAATGGAGGGATAAAGTATTGAAGGGGTCTGCTTGACCCTGTTTGCTTTTCTGCCTCTGCCTTAATCTTGCTATAATTCTACAATCCTGTTTAGAAAAATGCTTCCAGGAATGCGAAATTTCAGTTGTGAGATAGATTGAACAAGTTACTACTTGGAGGAAAGAAAGCTGAGAAAAGATTTGATAGAGATTTTCAAAATCATGAAGGTTGAACAGAGTAGGCGAGGAGAAGCTGTTCCTGCTCGTACAACAAATAAAAATGTGAGGGCATAGATTTAAAATGATGTGTAAATGAAGCGAGGGTGATATGAGAAAAAACTTACCACACTGGGAGTATTTAGGGTCTGGAACACACTGCCTGGAAACGTGGTGGAGGCATGATCAATCGAGACAATCAAGAGGGCATTGGATGATTATTTGGATAGAAATTATGGGCAGGGATCTGGGGAAGAGGCAGGAAATTGGCACTAGGTAATAGAACTGGTGCAGGCATGATGGGCCACATGGCTTCCTCCTGCACTGTAACAATCCTGGGATTCTGTGGTTAATTTCTAAATTGTTGTGTTTCCTCCCAAAGCAACCTAAGTTGCCAGGTTGCTTATCCCTATCACAGTATTCGTCAAGACTGCTCCTCTGGTATCATTCTTATACTTCATCACACCTTACCTAAAACACTTTAATATATTGAAGAGCAGCATTTAAACATCAAGTTTTGCAGGACCCCACTTAATCCCGGCATGTTTAACATTTATGCAGACTTTGTTTCCCATTGTCCAGATTTGGTTCAATCCATCTCAGCCATTCTGCACTGATAGGAGTTTCAGTCAAGTCTGGGGTTTGGAAATACAGTTTGTGCTTGTTAGGATGGCATGGAGAGGAGCAATCCTTATTATATCAAGATACATTTCTTTAGTGGTCTGTTGGAATACATTTTCTTTGTAACAGAATGTGAATAGATAGCATATCAATTATACCAAGAGAATTTCATCATGTTCAATGTTCCATACCATTTGTTTTTCAGAATGTAAATCCACTGAATCAAATAATCCCTCTCACACTATTGGCTCAGTCTGAGTCCTGTGTATATATGCTTAAAACACAGGGTTGTGGTCTGGATGACAGGGGAGCTTGATTTGGACTCCTTGATATTATTACCAGACTAGCAGGTCCAAGGCAGTGGAACTAGATCACTATAAAGAAGCAGGCAGCTAGTCTGGTGACTGATACCCTGAACATGAGTAGATTCCCTACTGCATATTCTTAACACTCCCTCATTGCAACCAACTTGTCTTGATAATTGACTGTGGGAGTGATGGTCACTTGTTTCCTTTCACTTTTGAACAAGCACACTATAGTTAATATTCTTTAATTTCACAATCTTATCAAAAGAATTTCTTAATATTTGCATTATAGTGGTTGTAAAAAACATTTTGGGTTTCTTGAGAATAAATTTTACTTGAGCTATAATCCCCAGGATCTCAATCAGAGGTGCATAATTCATCATTATAGTATCTTAAACAAAAATAAATTTAAAGTAGTATACTGTTTGGCTCTCTTGTTAATATGAAAAGAAATTAATTCAGTTTTCTGTTCTTGCTATGGTGTATTGAAGATAAACTCTGAAATTCAAATTCCTCTCCTTCATCCCTGATAGTATTAGCCCCTTCCTTCCTATTTATGCTTGCTGTCATTTTGCAATATTTTTCTACAACGTCCCCACCTTGATCAATGCCATAAAGTCAGCTTTTTATCTCACACAGCCTGTTGTTCTCAACAACATGTTGTTCTATGCAACAGTTCTGTACTATATTGATCAACTCCTGACATTTTCTCCTCGAATGAAAACCCATTCAAGATCTGTGATTTTTAAAACCTCTATTGTTCGCATATTACCCTTGTCAGATGTTCTCCTCATGACTTGGTTACACTGTTCTGCAACATTGGCTGTCAGGTCTATCGATCTGTAACAAATTCCCAACAGTAGTTTTCCTTCATTTGCCTCATTTTGTTTGAAGTAAAGAAATGGCTTGCCTTTTCAATAGCTTGCCTCTCCAGTAACTTCCCACTGTCTGCTTTATCCTCACCTACATCTGCCTGTTCTGAGCTTTTATAACCTTGTTATGTCCTCTTTTACTCTCCCATCCTCTAACAATGTGCTCATTCTGCTTACTATGATCTCATGTATTGTGTAAAGTAGTGTTTATGACTCAAAACAAATGCTGCAAGTCAAGGAGTAAGAGTAGCTAATGCTTTCCATTCACTGTCCTCTTTTTTTTAAAACGATGTTTGTCCTTGTTCTGTGCTTTCCCGTAACTTAGCTGTGGCTTATTTAGATTCAGAGATAGTAGGAACTGCAGATGCTGGAGAATCTGAGACAACAAGGTGTAGAGCTGGATGAACACAGCAGGCCAAGCAGCATCAAGGAGCAGGAAGGCTGACGTTTCGGGCCTAGACCCTTCATCAGAAATGGGCTCCACAAATTGTGTCAGAGATAGTAGGAACTGCAGATCAGAAATTTCTGATGAAGGGTCTAGGCCCGAAACGTCAGCCTTCCTGCTCCTATGATGTTATTTAGATTCAGCCTTTTTTTTACTTTATGTTTTTTTTAATCAATTTGTTGCATCCTATTGCAATCTTCTTGCCTGTTATTTGAGCCTTTATCTCCACTTTACGAAAAAAATCTTCCAGTTTATCCAATTTTTTGAAGAGGACCACTATTCTAATTCTGTATAATTGAGCACAATCCAATTGATACTGACCTTATGCTTGCCTTGGAAGTTACCCTAGTTTGCGATAAATGTCCCTGTGTCATTGTCCCTTTGCTGAATGCCGACTGTAGTGAAACTGAGTGTGAAGTGCCTTGTATAATTTTACCCATTCCGTATCACTGTCCAGGATGAATTTGGAACCCAATTTGTTTTGTCTTAGCTTTGCTGCTTGATCCCCTCAAGTGTCACTCGTAATATTTGAGAGAGTACTAAAGTTTGGTCCTTCCCTTGAACTTGCACTCTAGCTCCTTGAAGTTTACTATGAATGTCTGTAAAACTAGGCATAACTATATCTTGGTTTCTAATGTGAACCATGATGACAGATTCCTTCTTGCACTCCATTATTGGGTCATTTGCTCATAAGTTGAGATCTGTCAGTCTCATGCCAGGAAGCACAGTGACTAAAGCCAGTAAAGCTGACCATTCTTATATTAGTATTTGCATGTTTTGATGTTTAAGGATCAAATCTCAGGAAGAAGGCAGGGGATTGGCACGAGTTGAATTTACACATTCTGATTGCTGGTGCTGATACTGATGCAAAGAATGGTCTCCTTCTGCACTGTAATAATTCTGTGATAACAAATCTTTATTTTCAACTAACAAGTGGCAAGCAGAAGTTGCATAACATAGCGGCCAAACATGAGCATCCCCAATGAAAATGACCAGCCACATCCAGTAAGTTAGAGGTTGTGAAATCTGCAGCTGGTACCTCACATCCTGATTTCCCAAAGACTGGCCACCATTTACAAGGCAGAAGTCAGGACTGGAATGGAATATTTCCCTCTAAGTTGCATAACCAACCCAGAAGTTCCCACATAGGCCAAGTACAAGTTGGCCCCTTTAAGTTACCATGTGTCTGAGCAAAAATAGTTGAAAGGACTTGTTTAGCTAAATGGATAAGTTATGCACAATAAAACAGTAAAGAGAGTATTTTTCAACCCTTTAGGAGAGGTGATGGCATAGTGGCATTATTGCTGGGCTAAGTAGTAAACCAGAGACATGGGTAATTTTCTGGGGACCCCGATTTAAATCCCACCACTCCAGATGGTGGAATTTGAATTGAATAAAATCTGGAATAAAATGTCAAATGGTTACCATTAAATCATAACGAAGTGCTGTAAGAGCCTGGTTCACTAATGTCCTTCCCTAAATCTGCCATTCTTACCTGGTCTGGCCTACACATGACTCCAGACCCACAGCTATGAGGTTGACCCTTAGCTGTCCTTTGAAATGACGTAACAAGTCATTTGATTGTAACATCTGCTAAAAAGTCTCAAAAAAGTAATGAAACTGGACAAACCACCTCCCTTTGACCTCGGCAGAAGGTGAATATAACGGTTAGCTCAGCCCTGTTAACCCTGCACCATCCTCCTTAGCAACTCTGGGGGCTAATGGCAAAATTAGTAGAACTGTCTCAGACTAGTGAAATTGTCATATTCACAAAATCATACGTTACGCAATGTCTTCTGGAACAGTGCAGTCTCCCTATTAGGGTCATGATGATACTGATCCTTGATGCAAAATTATCACTTTATCTTGATATCTATATGCATATAGAAGAGGAAATGATTGGCCATTTTGACACAATAACACTAATAACATTTATATAATACTATATAACTTATACTAATAACACTAATAACTGGGGATATCCACTGGCCTTAACTGAAATTGTCCTCACACAGGGTTAAGGATGTGGAGCACATGGAAAAAGCTGACCATATTCTTCCCTTTTTGTCTTGGCTATGCACCAAAGTTTTTGTGCCAGAAGAATTAAATGAGGAATTTTCAGAGATATATAATGTGATTCAGTCAAAGGTAATCCAGCAGAGATTGTGTCTGCAATACACAAGTCCAACTGTTTATTCAGAACAAACTTACCTTAATGTTCTGTAGTGTAGACTAAATATGTTGACTTTCTTTCATGGAATGACCTGTTAAGTGTGTTCAAATTTTTTCTGTTGGCAGGAACCCCAGTTTGGTTCTACATGCAGATTGCACCCATAAGAAATGAATATGACAAGGTGGTTTTATTTTTATGCACTTTCAAAGACATTACAGTATTTAAACAACCCATTGAAGATGAATCAACAAAAGGTAGAATTTCTTTTCTATGGTTGTTTTGATGTATTTGTAATGAAGTAATTCTATGTGACTTTCGCTAAATAAGCTTTGATTGCTTTCTGGAAATAGTATTATATTCTATTCTCTCACATTCTATGATAATAGAAGATGCCTACAATACCTTGCATTAGAATTTTTGATCATTGTTCAATTGAATAGAACAGTATGGATGACAGAAAGCTAATTTTGTTTTACTCAACGGATCACTAAAATATCTGAATGTATTGACTGCCTTATGTTTCATCTTGTTGCTTCCTTCTTTAGGGCAGCTCATTGGCTTGGTGGTTAGCACTGCTGCCTCACAGCACCAGGGACCTGGGTTTGACTCCACCCTTGGGTAACTGTGTGGAGTTTGCACATTCTCCCCGTTTCTGTGTGGGTTTCCTCTGGGTGCTCCAGCTTCCTCCCACAGTCCAACAATGTATAGGTTAGCTGGATTGCCCATAGAGTCCACGGATGTGTAGTCAAGGTAGATTAGTCTTGGGAAATGCAGGGTTACTGGGATAGGGTGGAATGTTCTTCAGAGAGTTGGTGTAGACTCGATAGGCCAATGGCCTACTTCCACACCAGGGATTCTATGATTCTTAGCATTAATTTGCAGCCTTGGATCTTTTCCGTGCTCTGTTCTGCAGCCTGTAATGTTATTACCTGATCGCTGTTCTAAAAATATTTCACGTATTATTACAACTCCAAGGTTGTGCATTTCCCATATTAATCATCCATTGTAAGCTTACCAAATTACCCTCTAAACTAATTGTGGATGATTTCATTGACATTGTGGATAAATCAGTGGCCCCAAGATGGAAGTAGATACAAGCCAGTGGCTTCATCCATTTCAGTGTCTTAAGCAGGATCAATCTAAGTACTAAAAGTAGACGTATGATAGTAGTAGAGACAAAAAAAATTGCAGCTGCTGGAATCCAAGGTAGACAAACAGCATGCTGGAAGAACACAGCAAGCCGGGCAGCATCTGGAGAAGTCAACCTGTGTCCGTCTTTCTTTGTTTTTGAGGCAAATGGCTTCCATTGCAATGTTTTGTTTCATGTGGTGAGGCTGCTGAGCGAACAAGTAAAGGGTTACCGCGGCCACTTCCTCTGAAAATGATTATGATCATTGATGAAGGGTCTGTTTCCATGCTGTACATCTCTATGACTCTATGTCTCTTAGGTAAAGCAGTATCCAAAGGAAAAAAAAAGTTCAAACCTGCACCTCCTCAGTTAACAGCCTTTTTTGATAGAATTGTGAGCCTGTGCCCAGTTGATGCTTGACAGATGCGTACAAAAAAAAGCAATCCATAATTGACGAGTTTCCGACATCCTATCGTAACTTGAAGCAATTCGAAGCTCTGCTGTCTGTGCTCTAACTTGCACCGAATGTTATTCACCAATTGCCTCGCCCTGTGCTCGCAAGCCTACAAAGACTTATGGTTAAAACGCATCTTGATTTTAAAAATCCCATCGCTGTTTCCAAATCCTTCTGCGATGAGGAATGCAAGCTTTCACCAACTATAACTTGTAATTCAGAAAAACGTTGGGGAATATGAGGAAGATGATTCGTAAGGAATAAAACGGAGAATTGTGGATGCTGGAGCTCTGAAACAAAAACAAATTTCTGGAGAAACTTAGCAGGTTTGGCAGTACCTGAGGGGAGAAAGCAGAGTCAACATTTTGAGTTGAGCGTTCAATAGGAATGTTTGCTGCACCACTGGCCTCAGCTTCAGTTATGGTCCGTCTAATGATGACTGTTGTTGTTTGTTTCATAGGAACATCAGCTGTGTGTATGTTACATTGGTGACTGTGAGCCACTTGGTTTTGCAAGAGACAGAGGGACGTGTTTCAGTGAGCTTTGTGCAGTATGTTTAGGGTGATCTGCAGTTGAACACTGAGCAATGTGGGCACATTGTGAGTGTGAAGCTTGAAGTATAAGTAATTAAGGGGAAAACAGAATTTATGAATGTGAATCGTGATTTGTGTTTGATCAAGAATGTTGGTTGGGGAGTGAACGGAAGTGTTAATGAATTGAACAGTGAGTGTGACTCGGGGGTGCAGTTAGATTTTGAGTAGAGCAGGCAAACCTTAAGTTGTACTAGTCTCCTGGGAACATGAAGTTCTGCTGAGGCAAGCAGGCATCCAGTGGTGTAAGGATGTCACTGGCTGAATGTCACTCTCAGCTAAGTTAATAGGCAGGAAAAATCATTGGGATCCTCACACCTGTTTTCCAGCCTTAACAAACTTTTATTCCTGTGAGGAAGAGAAATATGTCTGATCTCTTGAACAAGGCAGGGGTGTACTGATTTCTGATGAAATCTGTCCATTGGGTACTTAGAATGGACCTCACCAAGTCCAACTGAAGATTTATTTGCTGCAGTGCACTATTGTTTTGTCGAGTATTAATCAAGTGGCACAGCACTTCATGTTCGCTATGTTCTGCAGCTTAGAATTAATGGAAGATGGTTAAATATTTACCTCTTGCTCAAAACCTAATCCCTTTACTTGATTTGCTTCTTTACATGCTGAGTCTCTTTTGGTTGAGAAGGGTGAAAAACATGAATGATCAATTGACTTGTCAGGAAGTTGCTTCGTTTTAGCTTTTGAATAATGTTGCACTTTACTGCCATAAAATCAACTGAGGCAACATTGCATATTTATTGCAATTTGTGATGGTCTGTTGGCTGGTCTGCAAATATACATAGAACGTTAGTTCTGAGACAGTTGATAAGTTGTTTGCTCATGTAAGATTTCTGTGGCTATGGATTGGAGTCATTATAGAAGTTCACAATCAACCACCTCTATTACTTCTATGGTGAAATTTGTCAGATGGTTTCCTGATGGAGGCTAGGACACATATAATAACTGCCTGAGCAAAATTGATAGACCTTTGTTTGATTTATATCCACTCTCAGACAGATGGCTAACTGTGAACAAATGATGAAATTATAGCTCTGACAACAGAGTTACAGGAAGATAAAGTGATTCCAAAATGGAAACAATATGGGTAACAGGTGTCCCAATTGCCACAGTAGGTATAGATTGGAAAATAAATAAGACCAAGCATTTCCCATCTACATAAAGCACAACAAACTATTTCACTTCTTTAATCATATAATAAATAAACACACTTTTTTAAAAGAAAGTGCAAGGAAGCCATCCCACTTTTCACACTTAAGTGCAAACCAAATTGTTTTAAAATGTGTTCAAGTCTTTTCTTGTTTCTTTTTACATTTTGGAAATCTATACCTTACATCATTGTATTTTTGAGTTCTGTGCCAAAAGGCGTGACTGACCCTCAGTATGGAGATCTCCATGACCAAGGAAGTAGGTCACGAACCTGTACCAGCTGGAATAGAATTGAACTTCACTTGCCATTGGCATGTGTTGGAAGGATTTACTAGTTGGTACTCAATCTAGGGCTGTATTATTAACCCACCTTCCTTGGTCTGGTGCTTCTGGCTCAGAGGCAAGGGGAGGTGATGACCTAGTGGTATTATCACTGGACTGTTAATCCAGAGACCCCCAATAATGTTCTGGGGACCTGGGTTCAAATCTTGCCATGGCAGATGGTAGAATTTGAATTCAATAAAATATCTGGAATTAAGAATCTAATGATGACTGTGAATCCATTGTCGATTGTTTGGGAAAACCCTTCTGATTCACTAATGTCCTTTAGGGAAGGAAACTGCCGTCCTTACCTGGTCTGGCCTCCATGTGACTCCAGACCCACAACAATGTGGTTGTCTCTGAGCTGCCCTCTGGGCATTTAGGGATGGGCAGTAAATGCTGCCTAGCCAGCAACACTCTCATCCTATTCGTGAATTAAAAAAGAGTACCCTGTGCAATACCAGACCTTCTGTACCTTTCACACTAAGAAATGATTCCTGATGTGAAACATCCAAAAATACAATTAATTAACTGCTATTTTAGTTTAATGACTTTCACATTCTCCAGATCTCCCAAAATGCTTTATTGCCAATGCATTATTTTTGAGGAGTTATGTAAGCTAACATGTCTGCTGGTTGATGCACAAGAAAAATAGCAAAGAGAAGTAATCAACTAATTTATTTCTCATGATATTGTTGTTTGAGGACATCACATACTGCCATAGGATCTCTTACGTCCATCTGAACAAGCTGGTAGGGTGTCCTATTGATATTTCATCTGTCAGTACAACACTCCATGAACACGGCATTGAAATGTCAACCTAAATGATTGTACTCAAGCCCATGATTCAACAATGTTTTGACTCAGAGGTGAAATAGAGGCAGCTGGATAGTTGATGGGATTTTGGGGTTGGGGTGGAGGTGGGGTGTGTGTGTGTGAATTTTAACCTAACTGGTTCAATTGTATCAGGGACAGTTTGGGTTAGATGTCCATTTCCTACCATACCCCGATTCTCATGCATTCAAAATAAATGAAGCTTAAGTTCCAGTAGGGCATAAAACAATCTTCTGACCTAAATTTCACCCATTGCCTCTGAGGAGATTGGTTAGAAATCACCAATTTAATACAGAACTGTTGCCTTCTTATGAAGGAAGAGAAATTGTTGCCTTTAAACAGCTCTGAACAGCTGATTTACCTGTAAACATTACAAGGTTATTTTTTTACACATGCTTCTTTAATAATACATATTAGTTATGTTTTAAGCTTGTTTTAAACAAATATGCACTGACTGATGAACTCTTGAAAACTGTGAAGGATTGTGTTATAAATCTATGAATTTTGAGTAGGCTATGGTGAAATCTATTTCCAGCATTCTGTGAGAATATAACCTTTACAGAATGCCGAGTTCCAATGGTCAGGTGGCAACATTTAATTCTGCATTGATAGTGGGGGGAGTGTGCTTATTACAAGATTTTTGATAGGTCACAAATAACAGTTCAGGAGTCACTGCAAAGCAGTCTGGAGACACAGTTTAGTTGGATTTTAAGGTTGGAATGCTGATTTTTAGGTGTTCTGCTGGAAAGAAGTTAAGAGCTT